TTTATATAAAAATTATAAATAGGGAAAATATTGATCACATTTAAAAGTTTTATTAGGCAAACTACATTTCTATTAGACCACTAAACTGCTAATATAAGCAATATGTACTGAAAACATGAAAAAACATTTTCAATATTTTTGTTGTAGTAGTACAGCACACTGTTATCATTATTGTTATGTAACAATGAAATGTGCAAGGAGCTGGAGTCAGAAAATCAAAAGGGCCAAACTTGCTCAGCATTTCTTAAGCTTAAGGAACTGAAGAACAAATTCAAACCTCGAGTTGCTATAATCAAGGATCCTTAGGCAGAATAGTAAATGATCTAGGAAGTATTAAAAGAAGACGGAAAGAATATACTGGGTCACTATCAAAAGGAATTGGCAGACACAGAAGAATTTCATGAAAGAACATATGAACAAGACCCTATGGTGATGAAGGAAGAAGTTCAGGTTGCTTTGAAGGAAACAGTAAAAAAAGACCCCAGAAATAGATGGTATACCAACTGACATATTTCAGCTAACAGATGCTGCCCTAGATGTGCTCACCAAGTTGTGCCAAAAAATCTGGAGAACGACCACTTGGCCAACTGTCTGGAAGAGATCTATATTTGTTCCCATCCCAAAGAAGGGTGACCCAACAGAATGTGGAAACTATAGAACAATATAGCATTGATTTCACATGCAAGCAAGATTCTACAGAAGATTGTCCAAAAATTACTAAAACATCAGCAAATAACTTCCGAAGTCCAGGCTGGGTTTAAAAGAGGTTATGGTACTAAGGATTATGTAGTTAATGTTAGACGGATCTTAGCTGAAAGCAGAGGGTACCAGAGGAATGTCTATCTGTATTTCATTGACTATGCAAAGGCACATGACTGTGTGGATACTAACAAACTGTGGCTGACTCTGAGAAGAATGGGAATTCCAGAACCCTTGATCATACTAATGAGAAACCTATACTTGGACCAAGAGACAGTCATCAGAACAGAGCAAAGACACACTGCATGGTTTAAAATTGGGAAGGGTGTAGCCAGGGATGTGTCCTGTCTCCATACCTTGTCAACCTGTATGTAGAACAGATTATCTGGGAGGCTGGGCTCTATGAGGAGAAATGTAGGGTCAGGATTGGTGGAAGATCTATCAACAATCTGCGATATACTGACGACACAACCCTGCTTGCTGAAACTGAGGAGGCACTGAAGTGCTTGCTGCAGAGGGTCAAGGACTGCAGCCTCCACTATGGATTGAAGTTTAATGTCAAGAAGACAAAGATTCTCACCTCTGGACCAATTGACACCATCGGGATGGATGGTGAAGTGATTGTGATTATTCACAGCTTTAGTTTTCTTGGCTCCACAATCAACAGTCTTGGTACCAGTACCCAGGAAATTAAAAGATGTATTGCAATGGAAAAGTCTGCTGTAAGGGACCTTTCTAAAGTTCTGAAGAGCAATGGTGTCTCTCTGGAGACTAAGGTGCATCTGATACAGGCCATGGTCTTTGCTATCACTTGTTACGCATCAGAGTGTTGGACAATGACGAGGGAGGATAGAAGGAGAATTGATGCCTTTGAGCTGTGGTGCTGGAGGAGAGTATTGAATGTACCATGGACTGCCAAGAAAACAGATTCATCCAAGAGAGGGTTAAACCACACTGCTCTTTGGAGGCAAGGATTCTGAGGCTTGGTCTAACATACTTTAACATGTTGTAAGGAGGGACTGGTCCTTGGAGAGGGACATCATACTTGGTAGGGTGGAGGAATAGCACAGGAGGGGAAGGCCCTCTATGAGGTGGATTGATTCAGTGACTCAGGTTATCAGGATGGGTGTTTCGGAGACAGTGTGATTGGCACAGGACAGAGCAGAATTTAGGGCTGTGGTATATAGGGTCACTATGAGTCGCAAGAGACTCGATGGCACATAACAACAACAACAACAACAACAACAACATCAAGTTACAGCTGATTCATATCTGACCTTCTGTGGTTTTTCAGAGGCAGTAAACTGCACTGGAGAAAATTCTCTTTCTTCTGCAGAGCTTTGGTGGATTTGAATGGAGTGCCTTTGGCTTGGCAGTGCAATATTTAGACTTGATGCACAACCTAACTAGATCAATGAAATAAATTAGTTTTGCACCCACTATATTTTGGTGCCAACTACACTTTTTTCTTTGACTCTAACCATTTGGAGCTAGATCAGGGATCATAACTTCATGGGAGTAGTCCTCCAAACTGCCAATGTCACAAGCCTTCAGATACCAGCCATACACTTGGGAGTCCTATGCTCCCTTCACTTCTGACCTGTTGACTAACATTCAGTGATTTACTGTACTGACTGAGGATATCAGTGCAAACTCAGGGGTCACCAGTCCCTTCCCTTTAGATCTGTTGGCTACCACTTATCCGTAAGCTTCAATAACTAGTTAGAATAACTTAAAAAATTCATCAAAGAACTGTACAATATAAGTACAAGTTTACTCCAGCAGAAGGTATAAAAAAAAAAGAGAGAGAGAGAGAGAGAGAGAGAGATGGCTATAGGGAAGATTTAGGTGATCACCAAATATAGAGCTTTCATGCCCTAAAAAGGGTCATGTTAACCTTTGATATATATCTATTATCAACTAAAAGGACATACAAGGAACTTCAGAGCTTTCATACTGAAGCCGCACTATGTAGGCATGATTGATAGATGTAAGACTCAAGCTAATAAATCCAAGCTTCAATACACCTTCCTTTTTGAGGCTGTATTCAAGTGGGTCTTTCAGAACTAGCCATCTGTTAAAGAAAATTCATTAGCATAAACTGTAAGGTAGGTAGGGTCTGAAAATCAAGGTTTAAGAGGTTATCTCTCTATAAATAAGGATAAAGACAATTTTAAACACTACATGGGGCCACTAAGTATAAATTTTAAAAGGCAATAGAAAATTGTAATTAGATAAAATAGACAGATTTATTAATATCCAATTGCTGCCACTGTTAGACGCTGTCAAGTTGACTAACCCACAATGATCCTGTGTACGACAGTGCTAACTCCTGCTCTATCCTAAGTCAATCTCATTGTCTCTAACACACCTACCATCATTACCCTGGTTACTGTGCCAATCCCTCTCATCCAGGGTCTTAACCTCTTATGCTGTCCCTCCAACCTTCCAAGCATGCCTCCTGGAAACATGCTAAAAGTATGTGAGATAAAGCTTCAAAATCCTTGCCTCCAAGGAACAGCTTGGTTTCACCCTCTTCAGGATAAACTTGTTAGTTCTCTTGGCAGTCCATGGTATGTTCGATACCGTTCTCCAGCACCACAACATAAATGCATCAATTCTTCTTTTGTCATCTTTGGTAATTATCCACCTCTCCGATGCATAACAGTAATTGCAAAGACCATGGCCTGAATCAGGCACACTAGTCTCTAGGCTGATACTGTTGCTCTTTAAGCTCTCTGTTGAGGTCTCTGAGAGAAAATTTTTCCAATGCAATTTGTCTTTTGATTTCATTACTACAGGTGCCAAAAGTGTTGACTGTAAGATCAAGCAAACTGTTAACAATCTCAGTCTCTTAACCATCTATCATGGTGCTTCCAATTGGCCCAGTGGTGAGAATCTTCATTTTCTTGATGTTGAGTATTAATTCATATTGCAGAATATAGTCTTTGAACCTCTGCAGCAAATGCTTCAGGCCCTCCTCAGTTTTGGCAAGCAATGTTGTGTCATCTGTATAACGTAAGCTGTTGATGAATCTTCCTTCAATCCTGATACCACATTGCTCCTCATAAAGTCCAGCCTCCTGAAGAATCTGTTCCATATACAGATTCAAAAGGTATGGAAACAGGACACATCCTTGACATATTTCTTTCCTGATTT